TCCATTGGTTATGCTTATATGGATGCATACAAGTCCTTCGGTTGATCTCTTACTCCCCTCCCTTCTGCCCCCCAACCCTCTCTGGCCTTCCCACTGCAGTTTGACAATCAGTTTGAGGCAGCTCTGCCTCTGTATCTATTATTGTTCAAAAGTTTGTAATGGTCTTTATTATCCATGAATGAGTGAGATCATGTGGTATTTTTCCTTCATTGACTGGCTTGTTTCACTTAGCATAATGCTCTCCAGCTCCATCCATGCCGTTGCAAATTGTAAGAGTTCCTTCTTTTTTACAGCAGCATAGTATTCCATCGTGTAGATGTACCACAGTTTTCTAATCCATTCATCTACTGATGGGCACTTAGGCTGTTTCCAGATCTTAGCTATGGTGAATTGTGCTGCTATGAACATATGGGTGCATATATCCTTTCTGATTGGTGTTTTTGGTTTCTTGGGATATATTCCTAGAAGTGGGATCACAGGGTCAAATGGGAGTTCCATGTTTTGTTTTTTGAGGAAACTCCATACTGTCTTCCATAGTGGCTGCACCAGTCTGCATTCCCACCAGCAGTGCACGAGTGTTCCTTTTTCTCCACATCCTCTCCATTAACTTATTTTTTGAAGTAATTTTTAATTAGTGGTGTTTCAACAGAAAGTTTATTTAGATTCAGAATATAAGTGTATGAATGACATGGATCACACATTGTTGTGTGCCAGGTTCAGGAATGAGAGCTTTGTTTCAAGAAATAATGTACACTTTGAAAATCTTTAGATCACTTTTGTGATCCTGAACATGACCACATGGCATTAGAAGGAGGATATCCTTGCTAATGGGAAAAGAAAGAGCCATGCTAAAATAGATGTTATCGCAACATAGAGAGGGAGAAAAAAGTAAAAGTTATTAAATTATGGGTTTTCCTTCATTCTGACTTTCTTGTCCTAAATTTGAAAGTTATGTAACTGGATGTGCTTAGATTATTCCAGAATGGGTGAGTTTAGGGGAATGGGAATTTGTGTGGTCAATGTGAAGACCTTATAGAGATACCTAAAAAACAAATTAAAATAACATCACCATATTATCCAGCAATCCCACTACTGGCTATTTATCTAAAGAAAATGAAGCCACTAACATGAAGGAATAACTGTGTCCCCATGTTCACTGTAACATTATTTACAGTAGTGAAGACATGGAAAAAAAAAAAACAACCCTAGGTGTCCTTTGATGAATGAGTTGAAAGAGAAATGGAATACACACACACACACACACACACACACACACGGATATATCATTCAGCCATAAAATATAAAGACATCCTGCCATTTGTAACAGCAGGTGAAGAACTGTATGGCATTATGCTAAATAAAATAAATGGTCATTTAGCGGCGTTCTTTTAAAGAACGTTTGTAACCCCTGGAAAACCCCTGACACAGATGTCAGACTGATTAGAACCTGGGAAGTCTCAGGGAGGTCAGGGCCTCAGTCTAATGTGGGTGATCTCCATTTTGCACAGAGAGGGACTGGGTCTTTAACAAGAATCAATCCAATGTGAAGTCGTGAAGATCCAGAGTTTCACGAGGAAAGCCAAGGGGGCCAGGTAGAGTCCAGTACTATATTTAGCCCTGAGAAACCACTGAGGAGCCCAGGCATCGCACCCTTGTGGTCTCAGGGAAGGATCCAAGGCCAGGTGGCTTGCACATCACAAACCGCCTCACCCGAGGACACTCAGCATGTCTCACACAAAGGGAGGCTCCCGCAGCACCGCCCCCTTCCGGCCTGAGAGGCCCAGGGCCTGCTTCAGAGGCAGGGCACCCTCACTGCCTGCCTCCTTGGGTCTCAGGGGAGGGCAGACTTTGTGGGGGCAGGCCCACTCGCTTCTCTAGAGGGAGGCGTCCAAGCTCTGCAGACACAAAAGTGGGGAGCCTGAGTGAGGACTTGGGTCCAAGGACCCAATAAACGCTCCGGCTCCCGGCATCAGGCGCGCCCTGGACAGCCCCGTGGGAAAGGGCCCACCAATATCCCATTATGAGGCAAGGACCTTTCCAACAGTGTACATGTGTGGCGGTTGTCTGGCTGAGGGCGGCTTCGCAGTAGTGGCTTTGAGTCAAGGTGAGGACCCACCTGCTACCCGCGGAAGCCACACCCCCATAACGAAAATGAGCCCTCCCACCCTCCCCTGCAGTGAGCCCCAACAGGCCCCAGCACAGCCCTGAGACTGCGGCCTGGAAAGTGTTGGGGGAAGGCCTTGCGAGGGAGTAGGCCCGACCCTACTGACGGAGGACCCCTGGGCCCCAAAGGGATTCAAGATGGAGGCCGGGTGCTTCAGAGCAGCCCTCTCTCGGTGAAAGGGCCGCGCAGGGCAGCAGCCCCTGTACTCAGCTCTAGGGACCGTCCCGCCAAGGTAATAGATAAAGAGCGACCCAGCCTCCTCTCGAGCGGCCACCCCGCCAAACTCAGCCAAGGCTGCCGGGAGCAGAGCGGGCAGGCCGCCGTGACCCTTACTCCTCAGGTGGTGTCTCAGAGAGGCCAGGGCCTTGGGGTAATGGAGGAGGGCACAAAGAGGGCCCCGTCTCTACCAGGGTTCAGGGCTGTTACACTGAGGGAGGCTGTGGGAGTCACCCCTGGGAGGCTAGGGCTCGTCGCCATGTTGAGTTGCACTCACTTCCTCCCAGGCCATCTCGGGGAGGTGACAGATCCGGTCAAAGGGGCAACCGCAGGTCAGTGGAGGGAGGATTTCGTGTTGTGCCAGGTTTCAGGGACAGACCATTGAGGACTGTGGGGATGTGCCACCCTGTGCCAGTGGGGCCACAAGGAATCCTCCCTGCCTTAGCCAATGGGCCTCCTGGTTAGATGGTCGGCCTGCACCAAAGGGTCCTGGAGCCAGTCATCGGTCATGGGCAGGTACCTAGGTGGAAGATGGATCCCTTGCCCGGTTTGGTTCATGAGGGAGCAACCAATTGATGTGTTGCTCCCACATCAATATTTCCTCTCTCTCCCTCCCCCCCTCTCTATCTCCCTCCCCCTCACCTTTCCCTTCTCTAAAAAAATCAACAGAAAAACTGTCCTCCTGTGAGGATTAACAACACCAATTAACCAATCAAGAATCCTGTTTATTTTCAGCAATACATTATCACACCTCAAGGATAGATGTCAGGCAGGGGAGCCCATCAGCCCTCACTCAGGGTGACCAGGGAAGTTAGTGCCTTGGTCTGAGGGGAGTGGTACCAGGCCAGCAGAAGGAGAAATCATGACGTCAGCATGAGTCCATTTGAGACCTCAGAATTGGATCCTGTGTGGAACCACTTACCATAGGATCTCAAGCTGCTTGCCACAGCCTCCATACTTGAGAGACCATGTTCAGTCACATAAGGTCCACTTCATTTCCTTTTATTGGAGCTCAGGTAGTTTGGCTCTTACTATGAGGTGAAACCAAGCAATGGAGAAGCCAACCAAACATAAACAAAGGAGCCATCATAGTATTCACTTAAACCCTTTGCTATCAGCTCAGGGAAT